TTATTCATTGTAACTCGCCTAATGACCATATGTAAAAATCCAGCAGTCTTCTTGCCTTGTTAATCTTTAGTTAGTCTTAAGTTTGCCCAAAATGCTCTGCATACAAAGGTGCTTTTTGCATGTTCACCCAGTTATTACACTCCTCTATGCAAACATGTATCATGCTAAAATAAGCTTGTTATTGTTAATACTATGTATGACTTAACTTTAATACAGTGGATCCCTGGTTTACGATATTATTTCATTCCAGAAGTATGTTCAGGTGCCAGTACTGAACGAATTTGTTTCCATAAGAAATATTGTGAATTAGATTAGTCCATTTCAGACCCCCAAACATACACGTACAAACGCACTTACATAAATACACTTACATAATTGGTCGCATTGGGAGGTGATCGTAAAGCGGGGGTCCACTGTATACAGTGGACCCCCGACTAACGATATTATTTCAATCCAGAAATCTGTTCAGGTGCTGTTATAGACCAAATTTGTTCCCATAAGGAATATTGTGAATTAGATTAGTCTGTTTCAGACCCCCAGAAATACACCTACAAAAGCACTTACAAAAATACACTTACATAACTGGTCGAGTTGGGAGTTCATCGTTAGCCGGGGGTCCACTGTAATTCTATGTATGATGTTTAGACTGATATTTCATAAATTACTGCAACAATGACTTTGGCATATTTGGCAAAACAGTCTTTGCTTTATAAAGCAAGTTCGCAGCCTCTGCTTTAACCCTTTCAGGGTCCGTGCCGTAGATCTACAGCTTTACATTGAGGGTCCAAACCGTAGATCTACGCCATGAGCTCAGCTCACTGATAAGCTATGAGTGGTAAATTTGGGCCTAGATATGAGAGAATACATCTATGTGGTATGTGTGTACCACATAAAATAAATCCTGCAGCACACAGTGCATAATGAGAGAAAGAAAACTGAGATTGTAATTTTCAATTAAAACGGCAACTTTGCAGTGTTTTTTCGTATGTTTTTTACAGTTGTATTTGCAATTTCTTGGTCTCAGTTGATAGAATGGAATATATATTAGAGAAATAGAGATGATTTTGATTGGTTTTAGTTCTGGAAATGGCTTGAAACTGAGCTCAAAGTAGGGGAAATGTTAAATTTTTGCCGATGTTCAAGAGTAAACAAACGACCTCACACGTCTAATACACGCCAGCTGGTGGGTCTAATATACATTCACAAATGTGGTGATGATATTTATACAATTATTACAGTATTGCATAACAGTAAATCTTCTATTTTTTGGTTTGAATAAAAATTTATTATGTGAATAAAAAACAAAAATGGAATTCATTTGTAAAGTCTCAAAACGTAACTAATGGACAGAGGAAATGTTAGTTTAGTGCCAGGAATACCTACATTGTTTATTCTGGACCCTATTTTGAAACTGGAATATTTTGAACTTTGTGTTAAATTGGCCAAATTACCAATTTCCGATCACTTTATTTTGTAGTTGAAACAGTTTAATTGGCAATTTCTTGTGCTCAATCAATAGAATAGAAGTAATACTAGTGGAATAGCTAAGAATTTGGTCAACTGGAATATGGTAATTGGCCTAAAATGGGAGTCAAAGTCGGCAAAATCGCCAATGCATAAGCATCACTGACACATCAAAATTCACGAGAACATAATTTCGTCAGTTTTCCATCAAATTTTGTACTTTTTGTTTTATTACTTTCAGAAAATGATTCTCTACCTTTTAATAAGAAAAAATAACAAAATTATTTTTTGAAAATTCTTGGACACTTTGAAATAAAGCCTCTGGACCCTGAAAGGGTTAAGAGTACCTACTCTATTCTCTTGAAAATATTCATTACCTTGTTACTTTAGAGTACATGGAAAATGTTCCTAGAAATGATTGTTCATAGTGATCTGTTGAAAAGTAGCATAGTTTAGTAAATGAAAGCTTAAGTTCCAGACTCTTCCTCCTGACTATCATCCTCACTAAATAATATAAACAGATAATTAAACAAATTAAATCAGAGGCAGTTTCAGATGTTTATTTAAGAAGGGTTTAGGGTTGGCACTCTGGTTGGAAGAGAGGGCTAGCTTGACTGTCTTGAAGCAGTTATTATTATTGTTATTTTTATTATTATATGTAAGTGGCTTTTATTACTTGACCAGCTGTTGGAGTGTGAGCGAAGTAACATTTATGAAGGGATTCGGGGAAACCGGTTAGCCAGACTTGAGTCTTTTATGTGGGAAGTACAGTTCCTGTACTTAGAAGGAGGGGTGGGGATATTTGCAGTGTGGAACTGTATTGTTATTATTATATGGAAGGCTTTGGGGGACTGAAGGAATCTGGGGGCTCCAGCTTCCTTTGCCATCTTCCTTATCACCATCTCTGAATTTAAATAGTTCATTCTTACAATGCGCCACTTGTCAAAATCTGTTTGTTTTCCTAGTGAGATGCTGAGTACAGGAAGTTTTTTATGCAGTATTACACTAATTTATATACATTTTCTTTTTTTAATACACTGGCCGTCTCCCACCAAGGTAGGGTGATCCAGAAAAGAAGAAACACTTTCATCATCACTCATTCCATTACTCTCTTGCCAGAGGCATGCCAATAGTACAGTTGAAAATTGCAAATATCCTTACCACTCCTTCATATCACAAGAAAAAAAGAGACTACCTCATCAAGATTTGAGGTGTTGCACAGCAGGTGTGGGGGGAGATCAGATCTGTGAAGCTCAAGATGCAATACTTAGTTATGGGACTCTGATCCTAACTTACAGATGCAGACGATGACTACACATTCTCACACATAGACAAAACATTATGGACTTGATTCGTTCACCAACCTGGACTTTGGCAGTAGTGGTTCTTGCTCTTTTCTGCTGTGCAATGCCTCAGTTAAGCCTTTCATTTATCAAGTGATGTCACACAGGTTAAAACTGTCTTGACAGTGGTATGTGATGTAGGAACTGCAACATTTATTTAATATGTGAACATACTAGACATTTGTTACATAGCTACTAGAAAGCTAGTGTTGTGTTATCTTCATGATCCTCAGTTATTTACCTTCAAGTAAATGTAAGTCGTTTTAATTTGTTTTTGTAAATTGTAATGTGATGAATTTAGGGCAAAAAGTGAATACTGAAGCAAACTGTCTTGGTGGTGGTGAAGTTTTTTTAATCCTTTGGATCACGCCTAATTACGGTACTTATTTATTCCTCGGGTACTGTATGATCCATATGAGTTTAACACTTCTCCATAAATATGTATGTGGTAGGCAGTTGAACTGACTTGATGTTCACTCAGCTGTTTAAATGAAGGGACTGTTAACAGTTATGATGCAGTTACAGTGCTGTGTTTTTCATGCTAGACAAGTAACTAGGACAAGTAACTAGGACAAGTAACTAGGACAAGTAACTAGGACAAGTAACTAGGACAAGTAACTAGTACAAGTAACTAGGACTAGTAACTAGGACAAGTAACTAGGACAAGTAACCAGGGTAAGTAACTAGGGCAAGTAACTAGGGCAAGTAACTAGGGCAAGTAACTAGGACAAGTAACTAGGGCAAGTAACTAGGGCAAGTAACTAGGACAAGTAACCAGGGTAAGTAACTAGGGTAAATAACTAGGGCAAGTAACTAGGACAAGTAACTAGGACAAGTAACTAGGGTAAGTAACTAGGGTAAGTAACTAGGACAAGTAACTAGGACAAGTAACTAGTACAAGTAACTAGGACAAGTAACTAGGGTAAATAACTAGGGTAAGTAACTAGGGCAAGTAACTAGGACAAGTAACTAGGACAAGTAACTAGGGTAAGTAACTAGGACAAGTAACTAGGACAAGTAACTAGGACAAGTAACTAGGACAAGTAACTAGGACAAGTAACTAGGACAAGTAACTAGGACAAGTAACAAGTAACTAGTTCTAGTTACTAGAACAGAGTTGTGCTCCTGGTGTCCCCATCTTCAATAATTTGTTTGTCATGCCTTTTTTTTTTTTTTTTTCCCAGTAGTTGAAGCATTTATTTCAACTTCTTGTAATTCATTCCAGTAATGTGAGTTCCCATGGAATGAGGAATCTGGTTATTATTGATAATTTTGTGCTTTTCACTCAGGTAAATGTTGGTCGTTTGCTGAAATTGTTTACTACGTCAGTTATTTGTTTATATTGTATGTACACTATTGTATTATGAGTATTCTCAATTGCATATAGACATCAGTTTTACATTTTTAATATATATATATATATATATATATATTATTATATATATATATATATATATATATATATATATAATATATATATATATTATATTTATATATATTTTTTTTTTTTTTTTTTTTTTTTTTTTTTTTTTTTTTTTTTTTTTTTTTTTTTTTTTTTTTTTTTTTTTTTTTTTCAAAAATTTTGTAATGTCCTGAAGTTTGTTTCATTGTGCATTATATTCACTGACCTTCATAAATTATTGCTTGCTTTTATTATACTGTTGTCAGTACAGCAAACAATGTGTTGAGTTCCTGGTGTTACAGTTTTCAGGGAATTTGGTGAATTAAGGTAAAGATGCTGACTACTTGCAGAGGAGTCTTCACTGGCACAACGGTTCACTTGTGTATTTGATAGAGCTCTCCCAGTTAATGAAACTGTACTGTACCGATTAAGGCTCCTCTACATTTTCTACCATCTTGCCTTACAATCGAGTTTTTTGTAGCAAAACTACGGTAGTTCAAATAGTTAGGCTTTGCACGCATTTGTACTGGTTATTTTCCTTTGTGTAACTTAAATCTGCTTCTGTCCCAGATTTTAATCCCCCTGTACTGTAATATTTTTGTGTACTTGTTTCTGTGAAAGAGTTTTATTTTGGGTGATTTTCTTTGTTTGCATTTATTTTTTTAGTGCTAAAAGGCCAAAACACTAAGTAAAAATTACAATTTTGTTTCTTCATACACTTAATAAATTTTAGTGTTATAATATTAATTGAGAATTTATTTCAAAGGTAGTAATTATAGCTGCACTTACAGAAAGTAATGTAGAGTTAGAAGACAAGATGTCAGAATACTGCCTACGCTGGAACAACCACCGGCCCAACCTGGTGACGGTATTCTCCGAGCTGCTCACGTCTGAGGCCCTGGTAGATGTCACTCTGGCCACCGATGGTCACTACATACACGCTCACAAACTGGTACTCTCAGCATGCAGCGTTTACTTTAAAGTAAGTCGTTGATGCTCTGAATATCGTAGTTTTGACTAGAAAACGTTTTACAAATGACGTTATTTAACTTTATTAATGCTGTATTACATTTTGTGAGTTTCTGTAGTGTTAATAGGAAGGCAGAATTAATACTGACATTAAGTGGGTTGCAAATAATCATTTAACCTAGTTTTTATTGCTAATGTTATTGATTAATTATCATTATTTTCATATAATGACTGTGCTAGCTTGAAGTAATTATGTAGTAGTTGGACTATTCTTTACCTTGCTTCAGTATCGTTTTTTTTATGAAAGTAAATTTTTGCATGGAACAAACACCTGGACACTTCAAACCTGATTACCAGACATTCTTTCATTCCGATCTAATTTTTCTATGTAGCGACTAAGAGTTTGGCTCTTACTTTTAATACAATAATGTGGCAGATGTTGCAAGTATATGGAATAGGTGGTAAGTTACTAAATGCTGTAAAGAGCTTTTATGAGGATAGTGAGGCTCAGGTTAGGGTGTGTAGAAAAGAGGGAGAATACTTCCCGGTAAAAGTAGGTCTTAGACAGGGATGTGTAATGTCACCATGGTTGTTTAATATATTTATAGATGGGGTTGTAAAAGAAGTAAATGCTAGGGTGTTCGGGAGAGGGGTGGGATTAAATTATGGGGAATCAAATACAAAATGGGAATTGACACAGTTGCTTTTTGCTGATGATACTGTGCTTATGGGAGATTAATAAATAACAAAAAGGCACAATACCATGACTGGAACGATACACAAATAACCCGCACATAAAAGAGAGAAGCTTATGACCAAGTTTCGGTCCAACTTGGACCATTGACAAAGTCACACTAACAGAGGTGGAGCAGAATGGCTATATATAGGCAGGAAGAGGTGGAGGTAGTATTAGTAGTAGTAGTACAAGAATTGTATATACCGACAAGATGAAATTAAGACACATGCACAACACCCGGGCATCCCCATCGTAGACGTTTCGCCATCCAGCCAGCCACTGGATGGCGAAACGTCCACAACAAAGACAACCAGACGCTGCACATGTGTCTTAATTTCATCAGTAGTTGTAGTAGTAGTAGAAGAAGAAGAGGTAGTAGTAGTGGTAGTGGTAGAAGTGGGAAATAAGGATGACGAGCCAGTCAAAAACAAAGGAAGGGGAGCACTGCAAGAGAGCTAGATGCCCACAGAGGGAGAGCAACCGCACAGAGGTGCGTGAAAGGGGAAGTGGTTTCCTTTCTCCTCTGGGTTGTCTTTCTCTCTCCTGTCTCGTGTTTCTGTTCCTTCTTCATTTATTTTATTTCACCACTTCCCCTTTCACGCACCTCTGTGCGCTTGCTCTCCCTCTGTGGGTATCTAGCTCTCTTGCAGTGCTCCCCTTCCTTTGTTTTTGACTGGCTCGTCATCCTTATTTCCCACTTCTACCACTACTACTACCTCTTCTTCTACTACTACTACTACTACAACTACTGATGAAATTAAGACATATGTGCGGCGTCTGGTTGTCTTTGTTGTGGACGTTTCGCCATCCAGTGGCTGGCTGGATGGCGAAACGTCTACGATGGGGATGCCCGGGTGTTGTGCATGTGTCTTAATTTCATCTTGTCGGTATTATATACAATTCTTGTACTACTACTACTACTACTACTACCTCCACCTCTTCCTGCCTATATATAGCTGTTCTGCTCCACCTCTGTTAGTGTGACTTTGTCAATGGTCCAAGTCGGACCGAAACGTCGTCGTAAGCTTCTCTCTTTTATGTGCGGGTTATTTGTGTATTATGGGAGATTCTAAAGAAAAATTGCAAAGGTTAGTGGATGAGCTTGGGAATGTGTGTAAAGGTAGAAAGTTGAAAGTGAACATAGAAAAAAGTAAGGTGATGAGGGTATCAAATGATTTAGATAAAGAAAAATTGGATATCAAATTGGGGAGGAGTAGTATGGAAGAAGTGAATGTTTTCAGATACTTGGGAGTTGATGTGTGAGCGGATGGATTTATGAAGGATGAGGTTAATCATGGAATTGATAGGGGAAAAAAGGTGAGCGGTGCGTTGAGGTATATGTGGAGACAAAAAACGTTATCTATGGGGGCAAAGAAGGGAATGTATGAAAGTATAGTAGTATCAACACTTATATGGGTGTGAAGCTTGGGTTGTGAATGCAGCAGTGAGGAGGCAGTTGGAGGCAGTGCAGATGTCCTATCTAAGGGCAATGTGTGGTGTAAATATTATGCAGAAAATTTGGAGTGTGGAAATTAGGAGAAGGTGTGGAGCTAATAAAAGTATTAGTCAGAGGGGTTGTTGAGGTGGTTTGGTCATTTAGAGAGACTGGATCAAAGTAGAATGACATGGAGAACGTATAAATCTGTAGGGTAGGGAGGCGGGGTAATGGTCATCCTTGAAAAGGTTGGAAGGAAGGGGCAATGGAGGTTTTGTGGGTGAGAGGGCTTGGACTTCCAGCAGGCGTGCATGAGCACGTTCGATAGTGAATGGGGGGCTCCAAACGTAGACCTACTTTTTTTTTTTTTACATGCTTTCAAATGGGGAAAATAAAGGTCGGAGTGCTACACCCATGAACGTAGATCTACTTTTGGACAGTTTAAGGGTTAAATGGTTAATGGTCCAAGTTGGACCAAAACGACATCATAAGTTTCAATCTCGTGTGTGCGGGTTATTTGTGTATAATAATATATAAATGATTTTTTTTTAAGGTTGGCTCTTGATTATGTGGCCATGTTTTTGCAGGACTTGTTTGGTGCAAACCCCTGCAAACATCCCATTGTGATCCTCAAGGATATTCGTATTGATGACCTGAAAACTGTGATTGACTTCATTTACCGAGGGGAAGTCAATGTGTCCCAGGACAGGTTACAAGATGTGCTCAGGGTCAGTAGTTTGGACTTTGTACAAACTTCCTTCAACTGGTTATATAAGAAATGTGTTATTTTACTTGGTTATCGTAATGAAAAATATTCACAGGAAAAAGACACTTGCAGAAGGAACTTTATTAAAACTTTTCTGCTGTGGAACAGACTTCTTCAGTCAACGTCTCGGTGTTGTTCCTCTCAGCAGTTATCTTTTTTCTCTCCAGTTGTCTTTGTGCCCATTGTCTCCAAAGATATTTGTAACTAATCAATAAATTGGAGAGGAAACTAGATGACTTATACAGTGGAACCTCAAATATCGAACTTTCTTCGGTCCAGAAGGCTGTTCGAGTGCCTTTACCGAATGAATTTATTCCCATCAGGAACAATGTAAATTAGATTAGTCCATTTCAGACCCTCAAAAATACACTTATAAAAGCACTTACAAAAATACACTTACATAATTGGTTGTGTTGGGAGCAGTTTGATTTTTGAGGTTCCACTGTATCTTCATCCTGGACCTGTACAATTTTAGGCCCCTCAGAGGAGGTTCCTTGATGCTGGTGAGAGGCTCTTGATCCAAGGTCCCTCAAGGTAGGTTCCTTGATGCTGGTGAGAGGCTCTTGATCCAAGGTCCCTCAATGGAGGTTCCTTGATGCTGGTGAGAGGCTCTTGATCCAAGGTCCCTCAAGGGAGGTTCCTTGATGCTGGTGAGAGGCTCTTCACTTAAGGAATTGGATCCGAGATCCAGTCTTTTAATTGAGCCTGAATGCCTTACATTTCCCTAGGTGTTGTGTAACCCCAACAGATTTAGTGTTCACCCCTCCCTTTCCTCTCAGTTGCAACTGTTGTGACTTGATAGTGGTCCAGGACAGACTCAAGTATCATATAAAGTTTTCCCTCCCAGTTGTAGGTTAGCTGTGAATTGTTCCAGCAGCAGTAGTACTGTATTATGATTTTTATTCTTTGGTGAAAGTTATCAGTTGTGTTGTATTTTCAATCAGACTGCAGAGTCACTAAGGATTAAAGGACTGGCAGAAAACCCCCGTAGCTACGATGATATGTCTAGTCATGGCGCCCGCTTCTCATCATCATCACTTGGTTCACAGGTTAGTGTCTGCAAGTTGCAGCTTCGAGTATGATCATTAAAGTTGGGTGAACCTCTGTGTGTATATGTTACCGGAATATTGAGTTTAAAACACTTTTATGATTATGAATTGTTGCATGTAACTATTTTTTTGCCATTTTCTATATTTGATGGGAAAATTATAGTCTTCTTGTTTTGTTTGCTCTGGCTAAGTCATATCATTTGGTCCTGCCTCTTAATTCTTATTGACCAACATAATCAATTCTGGGTATGATCATATGTACTCGTGTGTTGCACCATTGATGATTCTTAAGTGACCAAGCCTCACTGCAGTTACTGCAAATTTGCACATCTTAATGTCTGGTGCTCTCATATACATACATAATACATACCTCAGTTTTAACACTCCTTACCCTCTCTCTCTCTCTCTCTGTATATGTATACATGAGTAAATCCATGCAGAATTATTTTGTGCTGTTTCACATTCAAATACTTGCTGGCTTTTTTTTTTTCCTCAAATTCTTATTCTGGTGAATTAAATCCACCAATCTGTTGATCATTCTTACTTCCCAGTTGCTTGCTCTCCTTTGAGTTTCTCATCTACATTTAAATGTTTTAAATTCCACATTTTCTTTGTGGTAATTATATAAGTGATGTATTATGATAGGTTTCAAGTATGTGATTAATGGTTTAGTATCATTTATGTAATGCTAATATTGTAGGTGGTGGGTTTAAAAATTTTGTAATTGTCTTTGAGAGAACTAGGTAAAAGTACCATGGTATGGCAGATGAGCATGTTGTCTTGATCGTAGAGTACATCACTTGTGGTGGTATTTCTTGATTGTTGAGTACATCACTTGTTGTGTTGTTGTATTTCTTGAGTGTTGAGTACATCACTTGTTGTGTTGTGGTATTTCTTGATTGTTGAGTACATCACTTGTTGTGGTATTTCTTGATTGTTGAGTACATCACTTGTGGTATTTCTTGATTGTTGAGTACATCACTTGTTGTGGTATTTCTTGATTGTTGAGTATATCACTTGTGGTATTTCTTGATTGTTGAGTACATCACTTGTTGCATTGTGGTATTTCTTGATTGTTGAGTACATCACTTGTTGTGGTATTTCTTGATTGTTGAGTACATCACTTGTGTTGTGGTATTTCTTGATGAGTACATCACTTGTTGTGTTGTGGTATTTCTTGATTGTTGAGTACATCACTTGCTGTGTTGTGGTATTTCTTGATTGTTGAGTACATCACTTGCTGTGTTGTGGTATTTCTTGATTGTTGAGTACATCACTTGTTGTGTTGTGGTATTTCTTGATTGTTGAGTACATCACTTGTTGTGATGTGGTATTTCTTGATTGTTGAGTACATCACTTGCTGTGTTGTGGTATTTCTTGATTGTTGAGTACATCACTTGTTGTGTTGTGGTATTTCTTGATTGTTGAGTACATCACTTGTTGTGTTGTGATATTTCTTGTTTGAGAAGATTTAAAACTTGAGTCAGATTTGTCATTGTAAAATTTAAACCATTGATAAGTTTTTACTTTATAAGATCAGTGATCATTAAAGAAATTACTATAATGTATATGAGAGTGTAAACATGTCAGGCTTTTATATGCTGTATAAGTGGGACCCTCCTATACAGCAGTAGCCCAGAACCTAACCTGCTGTATAAGTGGGGCCCTCCTATACAGCAGTAGCCCAGAACCTAACCTGCTGTATAAGTGGGGCCCTCCTATACAGCAGTAGTCCAGAAACTAACCTGCTGTAAGTGGGACCCTGCTGTACAGCAGTAGCCCAGAACCTAACCTGCTGTATAAGTGGGACCCTGCTGTACAGCAGTAGCCCAGAACCTAACCTGCTGTATAAGTGGGACCCTGCTGTACAGCAGTAGCCCAGAACCTAACCTGCTGTATAAGTGGGACCCTCCTGTACAGCAGTAGTCCAGAACCTAACCTGTTGTATAAGTGGGACCCTCCTATACAGCAGTAGCCCAGAACCTAACCTGCTATATAAGTGGGACCCTGCTGTACAGCAGTAGCCCAGAACCTAACCTGCTGTATAAGTGGGACCCTGCTATACAGCAGTAGCCCAGAACCTAACGTGCTGTATAAGTGGGACCCTGCTGTACAGTAGCCCAGAACCTAACCTGCTGTATAAGTGGGACCCTGCTGTACAGCAGTAGCCCAGAACCTAACCTGCTGTATAAGTGGGACCCTGCTGTACAGCAGTAGCCCAGAACCTAATCTGCTGTATAAGTGGGACCCTCCTATACAGCAGTAGCCCAGAAGCTAACCTGCTGTATAAGTGGGGCCCTCCTATACAGCAGTAGCCCAGAATCTAACCTGCTGTATAAGTGGGACCTTGCTGTACAGCAGTAGCCCAGAACCTAATCTGCTGTATAAGTGGGACCCTCCTATACAGCAGTAGTCCAGAACCTAACCTGCTGTATAAGTGGGGCCCTCCTATACAGCAGTAGTCCAGAACCTAACCTGCTGTATAAGTGGGACCCTCCTGTACAGCAGTAGCCCAGAATCTAACCTGCTGTATAAGTGGGACCCTCCTTTACAGCAGTAGTCCAGAAGCTAACCTGCTGTATAAGTGGGACCCTCCTGTACAGCAGTAGTCCAGAACCTAACCTGCTGTATAAGTGGGACCCTGCTGTACAGCAGTAGCCCAGAACCTAACCTGCTGTATAAGTGGGACCCTCCTGTACAGCAGTAGTCCAGAACCTAACCTGCTGTATAAGTGGGACCCTGCTATACAGCAGTAGCCCAGAACCTAACCTGCTGTATAAGTGGGACCCTGCTGTACAGCAGTAGCCCAGAACCTAACCTGCTGTATAAGTGGGGCCCTGCTGTACAGCAGTAGCCCAGAACCTAACCTGCTGTATAAGTGGGGCCCTGCTGTACAGCAGTAGCCCAGAACCTAACCTGCTGTATAAGTGGGGCCCTGCTGTACAGCAGTAGCCCAGAACCTAACCTGCTGTATAAGTGGGGCCCTGCTGTACAGCAGTAGCCCAGAACCTAACCTGCTGTATAAGTGGGGCCCTCCTGTACAGCAGTAGTCCAGAACCTAACCTGCTGTATAAGTGGGACCCTGCTGTACAGCAGTAGTCCAGAACCTAACTTGCTGTATAAGTGGGACCCTGCTGTACAGCAGTAGCCCAGAACCTAACCTGCTGTATAAGTGGGACCCTGCTGTACAGCAGTAGCCCAGAACCTAACCTGCTGTATAAGTGGGACCCTGCTGTACAGCAGTAGCCCAGAACCTAACCTGCTGTATAAGTGGGACCCTGCTGTACAGCAGTAGCCCAGAACCTAACCTGCTGTATAAGTGGGACCCTGCTGTACAGCAGTAGCCCAGAACCTAACCTGCTGTATAAGCAGGGCCGTCCTGTATTACACCTTAAAGCAGAAAAAGAATTGCTAATATTGTGTGTTGTTGGTCGGTTGTGGTTTCCCAACAGCCTGATTTTAACGTTTAGTGTACCTCATTTATACTGCAGTGAAGGATTAGTTTTGACACGTGTACGTAGTACAGTGTTGAATGCACCGCGCTGTGTATCGTCAAATATCAAATATCCAGCCCATTTGGGGAAAGGTTGCACCAGATTCTCAGCAACATTATATGATTTGAATAAGTGGGTTAGAAAACCCACTGGTTCATAAATGAGATAATTATTTAACATTTGGGTATCTTGATTCTGGAGACTGAGGAGATGTGCAACATTTTGGGTATCTTGATTCTGGAGACTGAGGAGATGTGCAACATTTTGGGTATCTTGATTCTGGAGACTGAGGAAATGTGCAACTTTTGGGTATCTTGATCTTGAAAGTGAGGAAATGTGCAACATTTGGGTATCTTGATCTTGAAAGTGAGGAAATGTGCAACATTTGGGTATCTTGATTCTGGAAAGTGAGGAAACCACTGGCTGGAAAAACATTTCTGGAATGAAGATACCCAAATGTTGTACAAGCATCTCAATTATCAGCATTATATGGTCACTTTTTTATGGTCTTGTTTTATACCATCTGTCTCCCCTCCTCTTTTTTTTTTTTTCTTGGGTATACACAAATAACCCGCACATAAGAGTGAAGCTTACGACGACGTTTCGGTCCGACTTGGACCATTTACAAAGTCGCACTAACCAGAAGTGGAGCAGGACGGCTATATATAGGCAGGAAGAGGTGGTGGTAGTAGTAGTAGTAGTAGTTGTACAAGAATAGTATATAATACCGACAAGATGAAATTAAGACACATGCGCAACACCCGGGCATGTCTTTTATGTGCGGGTTATTTGTGTATCGTTCCAGTCACGGTATTGTGCCTTTTTTTTGTTATTTCTTGGGTATAAAGTAGAACTGGACCACTGGTTAATGTTGGATGCTAAATATCTGAGTGTTGGATGATTGTTGATCTGCTGTGTCATCATTTATCTTCTGTTTGTATCATTTACCTGCTGTTTGCATCATTTATCTTCTGTGTGTATCATTTACCTTCTTTTTTGTATCATTTGCCTCCTGTTTGTGTCATTTTTCTTCTGCTTGTTTCATTTGCCTTCTTTTTGTGCCATTTACCTTCTGTTTGTATCATTTACTTTGTGTCATTTACCTTCTGTTTGTATCATTTACTTTGTGCCATTTACCTCCTGTTTGTATCATTTACTTTGTGCCATTTACCTTCTGTTTGTATCATTTACTTTGTGTCATTTACCTTCTGTTTGTATCATTTACCTTTTTTGTATCATTTATCTTCTGTTTGCCTTTATTTTAAACACTTTTTTAATTAATTTTTTCTCTAACAACTGTAATGTGTTAAATTTTTTCTCTAACAACTGTAATGTGTTAAATTTTTTCTCTAACAACTGTAATGTGTTAAATTTTTTCTCTAACAACTGTAATGTGTTAAATATTTGTAATACACTATTTTGAAATATTTGTTCTCTAGTATTTGTAATGCATTTGTTAAGACACTGTTTAAGAAATCAAATTGTCTTGCACATGTTGAGCATTTTTGTGCACGTTTCTATTATTTATGTTTTCTTTTTATTAACCACTCTAACGCGACGGTCTGGAGTTTTGAGACTCTCTGACCGCGGGTTCAATCACGCCCGTGGTATGGTTTGTTTACAATCGTGTCATTACGATTTCGTGAGTCATACACAATTGATTATTTTTTTTCAACAAACCAGCCATATCCCACCAAGTCAAGGTGACCCAAAAGAAAAACAAAAGTTTTTCTTTTTAAATTTAGTAAATTATACAGAAGGGGTTACTAGCCTCTTGCTCCCAGCATTTTAGTCTCTTCTTACCACACGCATGGCTTACAGAGGAAGAATTCTTTTCCACTTTTCGATATAATATTTAAAGTGTTTTATATTTTACTAGTATTTTTACTAGTATTAGTATTTTTCAATGAGAAATTCAGTTTTAATGTTTATTTCAAAAGATGTGGAGCTGTGCAATGAATTTTAGCCTTTCAGGATTCTTTATGTAACTTTTTCTGGTGTAACTTTATACATGTACGTATATCTTTATACGTATATGTTTCTAAACTGTTGTATTCTGAGCACCTTTGCAAAAACAGTGATAATGTGTGAGTGTGGTGAAAGTGTTGAATGATGATGAAAGTGTTTTCTTTTTGGGGATTTTCTTTCTTTTTGGGTCACCCTGCCTCGGTGGGAGACGGCCAACTTGTTAAAAAAAAAAAAACAGTATTCCACTGTACAGTACAGTTAACACATTATAGAATTCCTAATTAGCCTCCTCTCATTCTTTGCTATAATCACATTGGCACCTGGTTACTTATAAAGTACCAACTAATTTAATGGCTCTTGTACTCTCTAACTCATACAGATTGGCAAAATATAATTTTCGGTGCACTTTTTATCATATACCTTTTCTAGATTAGGTGTGAACACTTGTATATTATTTCTAGTTGGGGTGTGAGTACCTACTGGAGTCTACATGGCTGGGTAAAGTTCTGGAGGTTCATCTCAAACCTCCACATTAGTCCTCGACAAGGCTGTGTCCATAGTTCTTGAGTCAGTCAGGTGTTTGAATTTATAGTTCTTCATGATCTGAACAGCGTTTATTTGAGTAAATAGAATTATTATTCTTTCTTTCAACAAACCGGCCATATCCCACCAAGGCAGGGTGGCCCAAAAAGAAAAACGAAAGTTTCTCTTTTTAAATTTAGTAATTTATACAGGAGAAGAGGTTACTAGCCCCTTGCTTCTGGCATTTTAGTTGCCTCTTACTACATGCATGGGTTACGGAGGAAGAATTCTGTTCCACTTCCCCATGGAGATAAGAGGAAATAAACAAGAACTAGTAAGAAAATAGAAGAAAACCCAGAGTGGGGGGTTGTATATATATATGCTTGTACATGTATGTGTAGTGTGACCTAAGTGAAAGTAGAAGTAGCAAGACGTACCTGAAATCTTGCATGTTTATGAGACAGAGAAAAGACACCAGCAATCCTACCATCATGTACAACAATTACAGGCTTTTGTTTTACTCACTTCGCAGGACGGTAGTACCTCTCTGGGCGGTTGCTGTTTACCAGCTACTACCTAGGAGTAAATAGAATTTTTTTTTTTTCCAACAAGTCGGCCGTCTCCCACCGAGGCAGGGTGACCCAAAAAGAAAGAAAATCCCCAAGAAGAAAATACTTTCATCATCATTCAACACTTTCACCTCACTCACACATAATCACTGTTTTTACAGAGGTGCCCAGAACACAACAATTTAGAAGCATATACGTATAAAGATACACAACATATCCTTCCAAACTGCTAATATCCCAAAACCCCTCCTTTAGAGTGCAGGCATTGTACTTCTCATTTCCAGGACTCAAGTCCGGCTATATAAAAATAACCAGTTTCCCTGAATCCCTTCACCAAATATTACCTTGCTCACACTCCAACAGATCGTCAGGTCCCAAATACCATTCATCTCCATTCACTCCTATTGAACACGCTCATGCACGCCTGCTGGAAGTCCAAGCCCCTTGCCCACAAAACCTCCCTCACCCCTTCCTTCCAACCTTTTCGAGGACGACCCCTGCCCCGCCTTCCTTCTCCTACAGATTTAAATGCTCTCCATATCATTCTACTTTGATCCATTCTCTCTAAATGACCAACCACCTCAACAAACCCTTTTCAGCCCTCTGGCTAATACTTTTATTAACTCCACACCTTCTCCTAATTTCCACACTCCAAATTTTCTGCATAATATTTACACCACACATTGCCCTTAAACAGGACATCTCCACTGCCTCCAACCGTCTCCTCGCTGCTGCATTTACCACCCAAGCTTCACATCCATATAAGAGTGTTGGTACTACTATACTTTCATACATTCCCTTCTTTGCCTCCATAGATAACGTTTTTTGACTCCACATATACCTCAACACACCACTCACCTTTTTTCCCTCATCATTTAGAATTATCAAAGCTCATTGCTTGGGCAGTATTGAAAATTGGGTTGGGCAAATATTCTGAAAGTGCCATCTCTGTGGTACTGAACACTAAATTCCATTCTATCTGTCTGTCTCACTATCCTTGTACTGTATAACCTTTGGCAAAATGAAAGTCAAATTGAACATTAATTTTGGTTTTTCTGTCTGACCTTCCTCCAGTCCAAGGTTTTAGGAACTCTGTGCTAAAATAACCAGTTTGCAATAGTGCATCATCAGGTTTACCTTGTTATTGAGTTGCTCTTTTCTACAGATTGCTTTTAAATTTTTCATTTTATTAATGTCAACATAATTTGCACATGTAAGTTTTTTTTAACCCGTAAACGGTCCAAACATATATGTACGTTTTTTCAACATTTGAAAGTATGTAAAAAAGTTGATCACTTTTTTTACATTTGAAAATATGTAAAAAACTTTGATCTACTTTTTTTTTTTTTTGTTATATTTGAAAATATGTAAAAAACTTTGATCTACTTTTTTTTTTTTTGTTATATTTGAAAATATGTAAAAAACTTTGATCTACTTTTTTTTTTTTTGTTATATTTGAAAATATGTAAAAAACTTTGATCTACTTTTTTTTTTTTTTTGTTATATTTTAAAATATGTAAAAAACTTTGATCTACTTTTTTTTTTTTTTTGTTATATTTTAAAATATGTAAAAAACTTTGATCTACTTTTTTTTTTTTTGTTATATTTTAAAATATGTAAAAAACTTAGATCTACTTTTTTTTTTTTGTTATATTTTAAAATATGTAAAAACTTTGATCTACTTTTTTTTTTTTTTGTTATATTTGAAAACATGTAAAAACTTTGATCTACTTTTTTTTTTTTTTGTTATATTTGAAAATATGTAAAAAACGTAGATCTACTTTTGTAGCACTACACATGTGAACGTAGATCTGCTTGGACCGTTTACGGGTTAACACACTGTCTCCCACAGAGGCAGGGTGACCCAAAAAAAGTCTCGCTTTCACCATCATTCACATTGTTATTGTCTTGCCAGAGGCTTGTGGATACGACAGTTCAGGTGATCCTCCGAACAGCAGATGTCCCCAGCCCTCCTTTAAAGTGCAGACACTGTACTTCCCACCTTCAGGACTCTAAGTCTGGCTAACTGGTTTACTGAATCCCTTCACAAAATGTTACCTTGCTCACACTAATACAGCTCATCAGGTCCCAAAAAATCATTCACCTCCACTCACTCCTATCTAACATGCTTATACATTTGAATTTTTCTCCTTTTGTATTGCTGCTAACATTTACACGACAACATTTCCTTTTCATTTATTTGACATTGCATCTCTAACTGATGACATTTTGATTTGATGCATGAATTAACATTTAATTTATTTGATGGTAACCTTGTTAATTGTATTCCCTAGGTCACACGACAGAGATCTTCCCTGACAGATTCCAGAGAGCAGTCACTTAGTTTAGAGGGGGATGAGGAAGGTGATCCGGGTACGCCACCATCCTCCAAGAAACGTAAAATCACAGCCTCTCACGACAGTTCAGAAAGCCTGCACGGTGAACATGGTGCGTGTGCTATTAGTGAGTAGTATATATCATACCTGATATATTTTTTTAAGCAATGACACTTCCTATGGCTCCCTGTGGCAGGTGACATGTGGTATGTGTATTTTTGCCTTTGTTTTTCTGATTAATAAAGCTTGCATTTTTTAATTAGTCATTCTTGTACAGTTCCTTGTAACATTACTGTTAGATGCATTATTCCCGAAGCAAAGGATCCCAGTAATGGAGAAAAAGATAATATGCAGCAAGTCTCCAACATATGAACGATTTACAAAAAAAAACAATTCTTTTTATATAAACAATTGCGTAAGGGATTGTTATGCTTCACATACGTTTGTACTGCAGCTTGGCACTTGACAAACTTAATGTTTTAAGATGCAAAAGGTATGTAACTTAGGCATGTTTGTACATCGAGGACCTGATAATGTGAATATACATATAATAGCTTTCCAGGTTTATTCATATCTGGATTGATATATAACTACAAGTTGATATAAAAGACATAGGAAATTAAAGACCTAGATGACTCAGAAGTGTGTATATTAATGTGAAATACATTTTAAGTAGTTTACATGAAAGGAATAACCAGTTGCCCGAAATGCATTGCATAACTAGTGGCTTTCTTCTCTGCTTACTGTTGCCTGATGCATTTCTTTTTTCAACTAAACTGGCCATATCCCACTGAGGCCTATAAGGACAACTGAAAGTTTCTCTTTTTAAATTTAGTAATTTATACAGGAGAAGGGATTACTAGCCTCTTGCTCCTGGCATTTTAGTCGCCTCTTACGGCACACATGGTTTATGGAGGAAGAATTCTGTTCCACTTTCCCATGAAGATGAGAAGAAATGAACAAGAATTAGTTTTTCTTTTTTTGGGCCACCCTACCTTGGTGGGGAATGGCCAATGTGTTAATAAAAAAAAATGAATCAGTAAGAAAAATAGAAGAAAACCCAGAGGGGTGTATATATATATGCTGCTACATGCATGTGTAGTGTGACCTAAGTGTTAGTAGAAGTAGCAAAACGTACCTGAAGCCTTGCATATTTCTTTCTTTCAACAAACCGGCCATATCCCACCAAGGCAGGGTGGCCCAAAAAGAAAAACAAAAGTTTCTCTTTTTAAATTTAGTAATTTATACAGGAGAAGGGGTTACTAGCCCCTTGCTCCCAGCATTTTAGTCGCCTCTTACAACACTCATGGCTTACGGAGGAAAAATTCTGTTCCACTTCCCCATGGAGATAACAGGTAATAAAACAAGAATAAGAACTAGAAAGAAAATAGCAGAAAGCCCAGAGGGGTGTTTATATATATGCTTGTACATGTATGTGTAGTGTGACCTAAGTGTAAGTAGAAGTAGCAAGACGTACCTGAAATCTTGCATGTTTATGAGACAGAAAAAAGGACACCAGCAATCCTACCATCATGTAAAACAATTACAGGCTTCCGTTTTACACTCATTTGGCAGGACGGTAGTACAGTTGTAACTTGGGATATGAACAGCTCAAAACACGAATCAATGCTGTATAGCCCTTGTGGTTTAGTGCTTCTTTTTTATTATAAAAATAATAATAATAAAAACGCGAACAATTATGTAAGTGTATTTTTGGGGGTCTGAAACGGATTAATCTAATTTACATAATTTCTTATGGGAACAAATTCTTTTGGTATCAGCACTTGAACAGCCGTCTGGGACGAATTAAGTTCGTATCCCGAGATACTACTGTACCTCCCTGGGTGGTTGCTGTCTACCAACTTACTACCTAGGCATGATACATTTTTCTTCATTATTTGCATGGCTCAAGTAAATTAATAGCTACTACTCTCGGAGCCCAACCATTGGCAGGCTCGTCTGGTATTTGCCTAACTAGGCTGTTGCTGCTAGTGGCCCACTGTCCCACATCCATCATAGCCTGGTTGATCGTGCACCTGGTAAAAATACTTGTTCAGTTTCCTCTTGAAGACTTTTGCACTTGTCCCAGCAGTGGTTCTAATATCTGGTAGCTGTTGAATAGTCTGGGGCCACAAATGTTGAAACATTGTTCCCTAACAGTAAATATGTATCTAGGTGTGAGTTGGGTATTGTAAATCTCATCCTTGGGACATTAGTATACCTTAGATAAGACTGTACTTTGAAATTATGAAATAAGTTTGCAGGTCTTAAGACTGTACATTCAAAAATGAAAAAAAAAAAAGTAATTCCTGGGTACTGTACTTGGTGTTTGTAGATGAATGGTTCAGAGAACCGACATGTTGATATACAGTGGACCCCCGGTTAACGATATATTTCACTCCAGAAGTCTGTTCAGGTGCCAGTACTGACCGAATTTGTTCCCATAAGGAATATTGTGAAGTAGATTAGTCCATTTCAGACCCCCAAACATACACGTACAAACGCACTTACATAAATACACTTACATAATTGGTCGCATTCGGAGGTGATCGTTATGCGGGGGTCCACTGTATTAGACACATGTGCAACTCTTGGGTACCTTTATTGAGGAAACGTTTCGCCACTGTGTGGTGAAACGTTTCCTCAATAAAGGTACCCAAGAGTTGCACATGTGTCTAATATATCAACTGTGCTTGGTAAACATGTCATCCTTTCGGTACATGTTGTGTCAGGCTCTGTAAAAAAGGCGCATTATGCACTTTATGGCATTTTATTGAAAAGATTTTTAGTTCTTCATCGACAGGAAACTTGATGAAGTCTCTGGTGGATGAAATGTCTTTCCAGTAAAATGCAATAAACTGTATATTGGGTTTTATGTATATTTGTTGCGGCATTTTACCAATTAGTGTTGGGTTCATGTGACCTGTTCAGTCCCACACTACCTTGTACAGTCCCACACTACCTTGTACAGTCCCACACTACCTTGTACAGTCCCACACTACCTTGTACAGTCCCACACTACCTTGTACAGTCCCACACTACCTTGTACAGTCCCACACTACCTTGTACTTAGCCATACAGATTGAGAAAAGGACTTGGGGGTTATGGTGAGCAGCAACCTTAAACCAAGACAGCAGTGCCTAAGCGTACGTAATAAGGCAAATAGATTATTGGTATTTATATCAAGAAGTGTAAGCAACAGAAGTCCAGAAGTTATACTGCAGCTTTATACGTCATTAGTAAGGCCTCACCTAGATTATGCAGCTCAATTCTGGTCTCCATATTACAGAATGGAAATAAATTCGTTAGAAAACATTCAGCGTAGAATGACTAAATTAATACATAGCATTAGAAATCTTCCTTATGAAGAAAGATTGAAGACTTAAATTACATTCACTTGTTAGACGAAGAATGAGGGGAGACATGATCGAAATGTATAAGTGGAAGATGGGTATTAATAAAGGGGATATGAATAAGGTTTTGAGGATCTCTCTCCAAGAGAGAACCTGCAGTAATGGATTTAAATTAGACAAGTTTAGATTTAGAAAGGACATAGGAAAGTTTTGGTTTGGAAATAGGGTAGTTGATGAGTGGAACAGTCTACCTAGTTGGGTTATTAAGGCTAGGACTTTGGGTAGCTTCAAATTTAGGTTGGATAAATATATGAGTGAGAGGGGTTGGATTTGAGTGGGACTTGCAAATGAGTGGTTAGAATTATCAGAGCTTATTTCTTGGGTAGCATTGAAAATTGGGTTGGGCAAATGTTTTGTTAGTGGGATGGATTATAAAGGACCTGCCTAGTATGGGCCAACAGGCCTGCTGCAGTGATCCTCCTTTCTTATGTTCTTATGTTTTTATACTACCTTGTCCAGTCCCATACCACCTTGTACAGTCCCACACTACCTTGTCCAGTCCCACACTACCTTGTTCAGTCCCACACTACCTTGTACAGTCCCACACTACCTTGTACAGGTCCACACTACCTTGTACAGTTCCACACTACCTTGTACAGTTCCACACTACCTTGTACAGTCCCACACTACCTTGTCCAGTCCCACACTACCTTGTTCAGTCCCACACTACCTTGTTCAGTCCCACACTACCTTGTACAGTCCCACACTACCTTGTCCAGTCCCACACTACCTTGTTCAGTCCCACACTACCTTGTACAGTCCCACACTACCTTGTTCAGTCCCACACTACCTTGTACAGTCCCACACTACCTTGTACAGTCCCACACTACCTTGTACAGTCCCACACTACCTTGTCCAGTCCCACACTACCTTGTTCAGTCCCACACTACCTTGTACAGGTCCACACTACCTTGTACAGTTCCACACTACCTTGTACAGTTCCACACTACCTTGTACAGTTCCACACTACTTTGTACAGTTCCACACCACCTTGTACAGTCCCACACCACCTTGTACAGTCCCACACTACCTTGTACAGTTCCACACTACCTTGTACAGTCCCACAGTACCTTGTACAGTCCCACACTACCTTGTACAGTTCCACACTACCTTGTACAGTCCCACAGTACCTTGTACAGTTCCACACTACCTTGTACAGTCCCACACTACCTTGTACAGTCCCACACTACCTTGTACAGTCCCACACCACCTTGTACAGTCCCACACTACCTTGTACAGTCCCACACCACCTTGTACAGTCCCACACTACCTTGTACAGTCCCACACTACCTTGTACAGTCCCACACCACCTTGCCCAATCCCACACCATCTTACCCAGTCCCACACCCATTTTTGAACCACAGTCCTTGGGTCTTATAAACAATGACCATAGACAGTTAATGTGTACTAGTTGGTGTTTATTATCCTGTGTTGCAGAAGAGGCAGAAAATGAGGAGAAGGGACGGGCGTATGAAGTCAAAGATGAACCTCTTGATGAACACGAGAATGAGAAACCACAATCCAGGGATGTAGAACAGGATTCTAATGTGGTAAGTAGAGGTTGCTAAGTAAGTGCACAAAGTCGCTCTTAATTGCTGTTGTATTTCCCCCGTAGTTTTGTTTTTTGTTGGTATCGGTAATGTTATTCTGTGCACTTATGTAGTAATATGCATTTTTTGTGTAAAGTAAAAGGACACAAGTGCAACTAATGTGACATTTATTGTGGTAACGTTTCGCTCTCCAGGAGCTTTATCAAGCCATGGCTTGATAAAGCTCCTGGAGAGCGAAACGTTGCCACAATAAATGTCACATTAGTTGCACTTGTGTCCTTTTACTTTACATATTGTCGGTAATTCTACCAACTTTATTACATTTTTTGTGTACTACAGATTGAGAAAATTTTTTGATACTCGATCATAAATATTGGTAGTAATTTAAATAATTATTATCTGACTTCAGAATGAAATGTTTTATTTGGCTTTATTTTCATCTTAATGTATGTTTAGGCTTGCTTTTACCTCTGATGAGTTCCGAGAGTTTTTCTACTCTTGGTCACCTGGTGCTTGCCTGGTTAACCAGGCTGTTGCTGCTGGTGGCCAGCTGTCCCACATGTCCGTCACAGCCTGGTTGATCTGGCTGGATGTTTTTTCTCTCACTGTATACATGGGAGTTAAGTATAATTGATAAAAATATCAGTGGTGAAATAGCTTTATAATTAGTCTCTCAGGGTTCTATTTTTTCAAGAAAACCTGATTAGTAAGTTTTATTTTCTTAAAGTTGTCTTATTATAGATCATAATTGCAGATTATATTTTATGTTTGATTTGATGATTTTGGTTTTGCTTGGTTTATTTTCAGCAAGATTGTGATATTAGTCATATGAGTTGCGAAGAGTCTCTGCCGAAGGTTAATTTGTATAATGTTGGCGGCATATTTAAGTCTTCCAGTATTCATTTTGTGCATGCTTGGACTTCCAACAAGCATGTGTGAGCGTGTTAGATAGGAGCGAATGTAGACAAATGGTTTTTAAGACTTGATGTGCTGTTGGAGTGTGAGCAAGGTAACATTTATGAAGGGTTCAGTGAAATCGGCAGGCAGAACTTGAGTCCTGGAGATGGGAAGTACAGTGTCTGTACTCTGAAGGAAGGGTGTTAATGTTGCAGTTTTATAAGGGTGTTAATGTTGCAATTTTATAACTGTAGTGTAAGCCCGCCTCTGGCAAGACAGTGATGGAGTGAATGATGAAGTTTTTCTTTTTTGGGCCACCCTGCCTTGGTGGGAGATGGCCAATGTGTTAATAAATAAATAAAAAATATATAGGAAAGATACAGGCAAACTGGTTAGCCAGACTTCAATGCTGGAGGTGGGAAGTACGGTGCTGGCACTCTGAAGGACGGGTGGGGATGTTGTAGGTCAGAGGGTCGTCAGAACTTTGGGGTCAGCGTGCTTCTGGCAAAACAGTGATTGAATGAATAATGGTGAAAGTGTTTAAAAAAATTGTAATTTGAATTACATAATTATATTGTGCTCATGTTGCAGTTAGGAGGGACTGGAGAGATTTAATTAAGGGTTGTTTATTATTAACCTAACTATCTGTTCCTATGCATTAAGAACAGGTTCAAACTAATTAAACTGTCGAAGTGTTTGAAGCTCGCCAACTAGAGAATCTTAAACTGGAATGTGTGTAGGGTCAAACCAGCCTGTGTAGTAATAAGCTCAGTAACAAAGGGTCATTTGTCTTCAGTGCCCCTTTAAAAGGGAAGGATGTCTTGATGGCAAAGAACTTTTTATCCAAGAAACTAGAGCTGTCTTCCCCTTTCTTGGATTATTCCTGATTATCTTCCATTTTCCACATGTATGACCCCTGTGGGTTTAACACTTAACCCACGATATTGGTAATTCGTATATGCAGAAGACATTCATTGTATATGATTGGTACAGATCAAAAAGCGTGTTGAAAATTGCTATGAAGAATTAAGTGTTTATGAGCCGACCAGGCCTAGTACAGCTGCCATGACCCTGGAATGCATCCACAGCATAAAATGAGAAACAGCTACAGGAGGGCCCCACTTACAAGCAGGTTAGCTTCCTGGTTACTTCTTTAAAGCAAACAGTCACTCTAAAGTGAAACAGCCTTTTTTTTTCACTTTCAGATGCATATAAAAGCCTGATAACGTGTTTACACTATCGTGTATTAAGTCAGCAATAGAACTAGGCCTAAAAAATTAAAAAATGCATATACGGTACAGACACTATTTTTTTTTTTTAGCATACCGGCCATATCCCACCAAGGACACATTACTTATTTTAAAATTATTTTTGTCCTTAACTTACAGCGAGTGGTGAATATATTTATTGTAGGAAATCTGAATAAATGAAGAATGGCTATAATCAAAAACTGCCGTATTAGCAAAATGCTGTAAAGTGAAGCACTGCAAAGTGGGTCCCACCTGTTTTGCCAGTTTTTTAACATGCCCATAAAAGAGTTCACACAATCATTCATTCATTTGCTGACTTTTGTCAGATGGGTGCTGGCATCACAACTCAGATGACCCTCTCAATTGTAATGCCCCCATTGCACCTTCCACCTCCAGGATTCAAGTCCAGCTAACCAGTTTCCCTGAATCCCTTCATAAATGTTACCTTGCTCACACTCAAACAGCATGTCAAGTACGGTGGAACCTCGGTATACGACCAGCTCCCTACTCGAACAAAGCTCAGCACGCGACCAAACAAATACAACCTGCCAGAATTTCGCTGTAAACTATTTCGTGTTTCTTCGCATTTTTTTTTTTTTTTTTTTTTTTTTTTGTATTTGTATAAATAAGTCACCATGGGGCCTACGACAATTAGTGATAACAGCCAACCAAACAGAAAATTGGTTGGGAAGAACTTGTTCAATACTCAGAGTGGCACTCGAACGGCCTTCTAGAATGAATTAAGGTTGCATACCAAGGTTCCACTGTACCTGTAAGGATCATATAGCACTTGGAGAAGAGCAGTGGGATGTGGGGGGTAATCAGGCTTAGTAAAAAAAATAGGGAGGGTTACTCCAATTCTTTGGACCAAGAACTTTTCATCATGAAGTCACACCCACCTTAACCCTTTCAGGGTCCAGACCCCCGATCTGAGACTTGTCCACAGGGCCCAAGAATTTAAAAAAAAAAAAAAATTTCTTGTGATATGGTAGGGAATCTTTTTCTGAAGGTAATAAAACAAAAAATACGAAATTTGTTGGAAAATTGCCGAAATTACATTATTGCAAATTTTGCCATATCAGTGATATTTACACCGGCGATTTTGCCCACTTTGACTACTATTTTAGGCCAATTACATTATTCCAGTCGACCAGATTCTTAGCTATTTCACTAGTATTACTTGTATTTTATTGACTGAGCACAAGAAACTTCCCAATTAACTATTTCAACTACCCAATAAAGTGATCAGAATTTGGTAATTTGGCCAATTTCACACAAAATTCAAAATATTCCCATTTCAAAATAGGGTCCAGAATAAACAGTGCAGACATTACTGGCACTAAACTAACATTTCCTCTGTTCATTAGTTACTTTTTCAGGCTTTACACATGACTTCCATTTTGATTTTTTATTCACAAAAAATATTTATTCACACCAAAAAATAGAAGATTTACTGTTGTGCAATGTTGCAATAATTGTATAAATAATATCAGAGCAATTGCAAATGTGTATTAGACCCAGCGGTTGACGTGTATTGGACGCGTGACATCATTTGTTTACTCTTGAACCTAAGCAAAAATCAAACATTTCCGCTACTTTGAACTCAGTTTCAAGCTATTTTCAGTACTAAAACTGATCAAAATCATCTCTCTTTCTCTAATATATATTCCTTCCTATCAAATGAGACCAAAAAACCATGAATATAACTGTAAAAACTACATGAAAATACACCGCAAAGCCGTTGTTTTAATCCAAAAACAGTCGTAGTTTTTTTCTCATTATGCACTGTGTGTTGCAGGATTTGTTTTAAGAACATAAGAACATAAGAACATAAGAAAGGAGGAACACTGCAGCAGGCCTGTTGGCCCATTCTAGGCAGGTCCTTTACAATTCATCCCACTAACAAACATTTGACCAACCCAATTTTCAATGCTACCCAAGAAATAAGCTCTGATGTGCAAGTCCCACTCAAATCCAACCCCTCCCACTCATGTACTTATCCAACCTAAATTTGAAACTACCCAAAGTCCTAGCCTCAATAACCCAACTAGGTAGACTGTTCCACTCATCAACTACCCTATTTCCAAACCAATACTTTCCTATGTCCTTTCTAAATCTAAACTTATCTAATTTAAATCCATTACTGCGGGTTCTCTCTTGGAGAGATATCCTCAAGACCTTGTTAATATCCCCTTTATTAATACCTATCTTCCACTTATACACTTCGATCAGGTCTCCCCTCATTCTTCGTCTAACAAGTGAATGTAACTTAAGAGTCTTCAATCTTTCTTCATAAGGAAGATTTCTAATGCTATGTATTAATTTAGTCATCCTACGCTGAATGTTTTCTAACGAATTTATGTCCATTCTGTAATATGGAGACCAGAATTGAGCTGCATAATCTAGGTGAGGCCTTACTAATGATGTATAAAGCTGCAGTATGACCTCTGGACTTCTGTTGCTTACACTTCTTGATATAAATCCCAGTAATCTATTTGCCTTATTACGTACGCTTAGGCATTGCTGTCTTGGTTTAAGGTTGCTGCTTACCATAACCCCCAAGTCCTTTTCGCAATCTGTATCGCTAAGTTCTACATTATTTAACTTATAAGTGCTAGGGTTATGGACACTTCCGAGCTTCAGAACCTTGCATTTATCTACATTGAACTGCATCTGCCACTTTTCTGACCAAGAGTAGAGTTTGTCTAAATCCTCCTGAAGTTCCCTAACATCTACGTTTGAATCAATTATCCTACCTATCTTCGTGTCATTGGCGAATTTGCTCATATCACTAGTAATTCCTTCATCAAGATCATTGATATATATTATAAACAACAACGGGCCCAAGACTGA